TTCAGAATCTATTATAAAAATTATTAAAAAAATAATTGGTTCATTCATTAATAAATAAATAATATTAATAATTTATAGGTTAGCTGAAAATGATACGTCACCTGGGAAATATTTTAAAAAGAATTAAATTTTCACATCAACTTTATGTACTGCAGCAGTGTGTTATTTACCAGCCTGGTTGTCCTATTGACATTATTAGGACTCTTTGATAACCAGGGCATGCTTTGATCTGTATGACCTCATCTATTCTAGATTTGTGTATTTACAGATGACCATTGACTTGCCTTTAACCCTTTAGTTATTATTAACTCAGCTGTGTTTGGGGCAAGAATCAGCTGTCAACACACACATCCCATCTTAAAATGCCCAATGTTGGGTCAAATAAGGACAAATCCAACATTGGGTTAGTTTTATTTTACATTAAATGTACATTTTTTTTAACCCAGCTATTGGGTTTGTCCATATTAACTCTTAGTATTTAAGGCCTGGTACCTTCATAATTATCTGGACACTCTAAAAAAAGCTGGGTTATATATTAATTTAATGCTTGAAAGAATATCGACAAACCCAACAGTTAATATTTTAATCGAATTTTAAAAGTTTGCTAATTGGGGTAGAGATCTGCGCGGGACAAAATTTTGAATCCCGCTCCCGCCCGCACCCGCCCGCACCCGCCAGGTTTTAGCCGGAACCCGACCGCTCCCGCACCCGCCAGGTTTTAGCCGGAACCCGAAGCACTTGATGTCCCGCTGCCCGACCCGCCCCATTTTCTATCCGCCGCGCCCGATCCCGCTAAAGAGCGGGGGGAGAACAAAACCGAAAAATCACCCACTTATACAGTCCAGACAGCCTATAACAAGCTGTCTGTATAAACACACACGCACAACACCAAGCACACACACACAGACAAAGCTTTCTCTCTCATTCGCGTGCGCGCGCCCGCCCTCTAACACACACTCATAAGCACCAAGCACAAACACAGGCAATGAGGCAAAGCTCCCTATCTTTCATTCGCGCGCACACGCACGCACGCACGCACGCACACACACGCACGCACACACACACACGCACGCACACACGCGCACACACGCGCACACACACACACACACACACACACACACACACACACACACACACACACACACACACACACACACACACACACACACACACACACACACACACACCTCTCATTCGCGCGTGCGCATACATACACACACACACACACACACACACACACACACTGCAACAAACAAGCTAAACACAGCATCGCGCTATTTCATTTACACACATACATACGCGTGCTCACTCGGGAGTCGGGAGCGATATTGCTAGACAGCCCGCTCCCGTCCCAAATTAAACCCGTTACCGACCGCTCCCGTGATTTATTCGGAAATTTATACCCGCGCCGTAGAAATCTGGTCGGGTCCCGCGGCGCCCGCGGGACAGCCGCGGGAATGCAGACCTCTAAATTGGGGTGACACGGTAACTTAGCACTGTCGCCTCACAGCAAGAAGGCTGCTGGTTTGGGTCCCGGCTAGGCCAGTTGGCATATCTGTATGGAGTTTGCATGTTCTCCCCGTGTTGGTGTGGGTTTCCTCTGGGTGCTCCGGTTTCCCCCACAGTCCAAACACATGCGCTATAGGGGAATTGATGAACTAAATTAGCTGTAGTGTTTTGTGTGAATGTGAGTGTATGGGTGTTTCCCAGTGATGGGTTGCAGCTGAAAGGGCATCTACTGCATAAAACATATGCTGGAAGTTGGCGGTTCATTCCGCTGTGGCGACCCCTGATATATACAGAAGAAAAATGAATGATAAATGACTTTTTTTTTTTTTATCCAAGGTTTGTGTTTTTCCATATCTGACCCAGCGTTGAGTTACAACAGCCCAGCATTATTAAGCATGTGATGTTCACACAGGCCTTGTGCTTTAATATTCCACACGGATGCTGTGCTGAAGAGGTGACCTGATTTATTTCTCTTTTATGTGTCCGTTATTGATCCACAGTGTTTTGAGATCCTGATCGACCCAGATTTTATGCCTTCTGTCTTTCTCTTTATTCACAGAGCGGCGTCTGCTCTCACCATCCTGCTGGAAATAGCAGCTTTTCTCTGTCCTGGCGAGCGAGGACACCTGAATATGACGTGTGTGTGTGTGTGTGTGTTTTCTGGCGGTCTGGAGTCCTCTTGAGTGAAATCAGGAGATGTGGATGTTTCTGCTAATATTTGAGGTTCGACATCCTGCTGCATTAGTTTGATTTTTATTGCAATTGAAAGAAACTTATCCAGCATATGTTTTACACAGCGAATGCCCTTCCAGCCACAACCCAGTACTGGGAAACACCCATACACACTCATTCACACACATGCACTACTGGCCAATTTAGCTTACCCAATTCCTCTATAGCGCATGTGTTTGGACTGTGGTGGAAACCGGAGCACCCGGAGAAAACCCACACCAACACGGGGAGAACATGCAAACTCCACACAGAAATGCCAACTGACCCATCCAGGGCTCGAACTAGTGACCTTCTTGCTATGAGGCGATCGTGCTACTCACTGCGCCACCGTGACACCCATACATTTTTTAAATATTTAAGTTTAAAAAATGTTGTATCAGTAATTTTGTTGCATTTTTTTGTCATAAAAAAATTAGGTAACACTTTACAATAAGGTTTATTAATTAATGCATTTACTAACATGAACTAATTATGAACAACACATGTACAGCATTTATTAATCATAATTGAACATTTACTAATGCATTATTAACATTCTTGTTAACATTAGTTAATGCACCATGAGTTAACATGAACTAATAATGAACAACTGTATTTTCATTAACTAACGTTAACTATTGTTCATTGTTTGTTCATCTTAGTAAATGCATTAATTAACATTAACTAATGAACCTTATTGTAAAGTGTGACCAAAAATTAATATGTAATTTTTGATTAATTAATTAATTAATTTATTTAATGAATACGTTTGGTTTGAGTGAAACTTTTTTTTAAATGAGAAATATTGCTTTAGTGTCTAGCTGAAATAAAATACATTTATTTTTCTATTATAGCTGCATTATTGCGGACAGGAGCCTCCATTTGCTCTCTATGTGGTCTCGGTATATATATATATATATATATATATCTGAGTATATTTTAGCATTATAATTTTTATAAATTTATAAAATTTGTAAATGTAATTTTTAGTAATTTTGTTGCAATTTTTTGGTCATTTTTCATTTATTTTAAAATAAGGAATTTTTAAATGAATTCATTTATTTATTTAATTCGGTTTGAGTGACTTTTTTAAAAAAGTGAAATATTGCTTCAGTGTCTAGCTGAAATAAAATACATTTATTTTTCTATTTTAGTTGCGTTTAGCTCTGGCAGGTGTCTCTGTTTGATCCGTGTGATCTCAGTGTATATATACAGTATATATATGTATTTGAGTATATTTTAGCATCATAAATTGTATTAATATTTAATATTTTTTAAATGTAGTTTCAGTAATTTTGTTGCATTTTTTTTGTCATTTTTAATTTATTTTAAAATATGTAATTTTTTGATGAATTTACTTAGTTTGGTTTGATTGAAACTTTTTTAAATGAGAAATATTGCTTTAGTGTCTAGCTGAAATAAAATACATTTATTTTTCTATTATAGCTGACAGGAGCCTCCATTTGCTCTCTATGTGGTCTCAGTATATATATTTCCAAGTATATTTTGCATTATAATTTGTAAAATTATAATTCATATTTTTAAATGTAATTTCAGTAATTTTGTTGTCATTTTTGTCATTTTTTATTTATTTTAAAATATGTACATTTTTATGAATTTATTAATTTACTTCATGAATTAGTTTGGTTTGAGTGACTTTTTTAAAATGAGAAATATTGCTTTAGAGACTAGCTGAAATAAAATACATTTATTTCTGTTTTACTAATTTTGTTGCATTTTGTTGACATTTTTTATTTATTTAAAAAAAAAAATTCATTCATTCTATCATTTTCTTTTCAGCTTAGTCCCTTTATTAATCTGGGGTCGCCGCAGCGGAATGAACCGCCAGCTTATCCAGCACATGTTTTACACAGCGGATGCCTATCCAGCTGCAACCCATCACTGGGATTATTTATTTACCGTATTTTCCGCACTATAAAGCGCACCGGATTATAAGACGCAGTCTCAATTACGGGGTCTATTTCTGTACTTGACCCATACATAAGGCGCACCGTATTATAAGGCGCACGCTAAAATACACTGTCTGCAAAAAAGGTAATGGAAGCAAAACAGTTAACATAGTTTAGTTGAACTTTATTGTACTATTTAACAATACACTCACATTATTATTATTTTCAATCAGTCTTCTCCCAAAAGTCCTCATCTTCTGTGTCTGAATTGAACAGCTGGGCAGTTTCGTCATCAAACACGCCGGGTTCTCTCTCATCATTGTCGGAGTCAGTCTCATTGCCGGGTGGCTGTTCCGGCTTTTGCGAAAGCTCGGACAACAGTTAAAGCAGACACCCTAGCCCAGGCATCCACAATCCATTCACATATGGTGGCGTAACTCGCCCGGCATGCCTACCAGTCTTAGTAAAAGTGTGTTCGCCGTCTGTCATCCATTGCTCCCACGCAGCTCGCAACTTCACTTTAAACGCCGTCTACACCAATATCCAGCGGTTGAAGTTCTTTTGTTAGTCCTCCCGGAATGACAGCAAGCTCCGAATTCATTCAGGTTGGTCCTCTAACTGTCCAGATTAGACAGATTTTTGAACTCCGTGCACACATAAAGCGCACCGGATTATTAGGCGCATGGCCGTTTTATAACAAAATTTAAGGCTTTTAGGTGCGCCTTATAGTGCGGAAAATACAGTATTTAATTAGTTGATGTACAGTTTGAGTTAAATTTTTAAATGAGAAATATTGTCTGAGTGACTAGCTGAAAAAAAATACTTTTCTTTTTCTCTTTTAGCTGCATTTAACCCTGGCAGGAGCCTCCGTTTGCTCTCCATGTGATTGATCTCAGTGCGATGCAGTGGAAACTGGAGGAATTTTAAGGTGATCTCATGTGGTTTTCCTGAACTGAAGATGAGTGGAAGTCCTCTGATGGAGTACAATCTGCCGTCATCTCTGGCCCCTGTTTCGGACCCCGGGGCCACCGCAGGCCTCCTGCTGGCTCCAGACAGCGAGCAGGGCACGGCGCTCTGTTTTGTGGGTCTCCTGCTGCTGTTTTTGGTGTTTTTACTGGTGCGCTGTTTCCGGATTCTCTTGGACCCGTATAGCAGCATGCCGTCCTCATCGTGGTCAGATCATAAAGACGGACTGGAGAGAGGACAGTTCGATTATGCACTGGTGTAGAGGCTGCTCAGGCAGAGAAATTAAAAACCAAATCCTGTCCAGAGCATATTTTACCTCCAAAGAAAAAAGGTACATTTTAATTGTCACCATTTGTATTATTAAATATAATCACAAGAATTTGATTAAATCATAATATACAGTGCTTAGCATAATTGAGACAGAAAATTCATATTTTCTGTCTATTACCTTAATTAATATTGACAATACAGTGCTCAACATATATGAGTTCACCCCTCATACTGTAAATCTCTCATACATTCATTCGTTTTCTTTTCGACTAATGCCGAGTTCAGACTGCATGATTTTCAGAGAAGTCGTGTCACAGATGTGTTCACACTGCTTGACTATCTGGGCTGGCGTTTCGTCGCTGCTTTGTTTACACTGCAAGATGGATCAGCGACAGGGACTTTCACATTGCATGACTTTACTATAGGAAGAATCGCCGACAACTTCGTCCAAACTACGTCTCACAGCCAAAAACACGTCGTATATCTTTTGTTATTAACTACATAATGAGAAAGAAGCCTTTAATGAGGTAGAACATGTACATGTTTGCTCACCTGGGTTTAAAGGGAATTAGCCATTTCTCCTCAACGTTAATAATAAGCTAATTTCTTTCTGTACAAAACGTCAAACAGACACGGGTGCTCCTGAGTCCTGTCAAACCTCCACTAGTTTTTCCTCCATTTCGTGGGTCCAAACAAACTGAAAAAGAGCGCTATTAACTTCTCCCCCAGCCTCCCGCTGGCCTGCAGCAGGTATACACACACACACACGCAAGTGAATGCCGCTCTCTCATTGGCTGTAGGCAATGGCTGATGTTATTTTCAGTCAGAACTCAATTCACACGGCATGATTTGAATCGCCGACAGCTCCAGATATTCAGCACACCAAATATCTCACAGGCATCGGCGACTCATCGGTTATTCTCTCAGATCGTGTCTTTGATAGTTTATACTGTGTGATTGTCACTCACGTGCACGAGCAGCGATTTGCCTGTGATTTCAGGCATTTGTCTGCGATTTCTCAAAACCTGTCGGCGAGCCAAAGTCGGGGCTGAAATCACACAGTCTGAACTAGGCATAAGTCCCTTTATTAATCAGGGGTCACCACAGCTGTTCAATAAAGGGACTAATGCCTAGTTCACACTAAAGGATTTTAAGCCTGATTTGAGCCCGATTTGGAAGTTAACGAGCTCGCCGACAGATCGGGCTGTGATCGGGAAGAAATCTGCGGGTGCTCGGCGCTCGCCGCTCTTTATGTGTGAACTACTGAACAACGCATCAACGAGGCTCGCTGACACCTCGCAGACGGAAATCCAACATTCAGCATGCTAAATATTCCAGAGCAGTCGGCCGACTCAACCCCACGTGTGGTCAGATGTAGTGACGAGCTGCAGCCAATGAGAGAGCAGATCAGCATGAGCCGCGTGCCTGTGTGTTCAGGAGCTCAGCAGAAACATCTGTGATTGGTCAGAATGGGCATCGGTGCACTGGCTTCATTCTGCGTTAGCACAGACATGAGAGTAGACTATATTAACAGTGGAACTAGAATTCTGTAACTATTAGAATTATCATACTGCTCATTCTGACCGTTCTCATATAAAACGCCATACTGTCACAACATATTTACATTCAAAGCTATTATTGAGATATTAAAATTAAGCTTTGAATGTCTGGCATCATATTTAATGACACATTACCCTAAAAATATAATCTTTTTTTTTAGTAATACAGCCTATAAATATGTAGTTAAGATACTAAAACACTTAAAGGTCTTGGCTTTCATTTTCACTTTCAAACAGGAGCTCTTTCACAGCACAGAATCTGCTGTTTTGAAAGATATCTGAAGTAAATTGATGTTTTTGCCATCAGAAAGTTTTGTTTATGTTAGCAGGAAGTTGCTAGGCAAGAAAATGCACACATATTTAAAGTCACAGTGAAAAGTATCAGACATGCATGCAGTCATTTTGACCAATATGGTAATTTAAGGCAGAAATGCTCAGTTCTTTACTGTTTTGTAATAAAAAAAATAACAATGTCAGAAAGAAATACACTGATAGTTAGAAAACGGCAGGGTGTTATAAATATGTTAGTTTTATTTCAAAGAGTTATAAAATTACAACAATTAAAAACTCTCTGTGTATCTATCCACTGGAACCTGCAGATGAGTGATTAATCCGCTGATAAATCAGCTGATTTGACGATGTTTTTAAAGGCTTTCTCCAAAGCTTGAAACGCTGTCAGTGATGTCATCAGCACACAAGCAGCCAATAGTGTTCAGCTTTTTCTGACGCCTCCCTCAAATTTTCATTGGCTGTGGTTTGGTAGCTTGAATGAACTGATGGGGAATGAGATGTTGTCAGATCATGTAGTGTGTGACCCCCCTCTTGTGGATCATTCACAGAGTGTTGCGTAGTGTGAACACCACAGAGATTAAAAGACACAAAGTCAAGTCATGTAGTGTGAACAGCACAGCAATCTGCTGATGTTTAAAATCCTGTAGTGTGAACTAGGCTTAAGCCGAAGGAAAATGAATGAATTTTCCCAACATATGAATAAGGAGAGCTCTGTTGAGTGAACTCATTTATGCTGAGCACTGGTTACTGTTATATACTACTGCTGCTGCTAATTATTATTACTATTATTTTATTAACGTTAATATAATTACAGATAAAAAAAAATTTCTGGCCACATTTTCATGTGTAAAATGTGAATTTATGCATAAAATAAGCTTTTTGTAATCAATTAAATAACTATAATATTTAGCTGTTAGTCATGGCATTTAATATATTACAGTATTTTTTCTGTTCTTTTTCGTGTATTTAGAAATATGTTGTGCTTTCTTTAGGTTTTGGAGTAAAAGATGACCTGGGAGTATTTTTAAGAAGTTTAGTGAGATTAAACCAAATATATACTTGACCGGACATTATATAATTATTTGATTTATTGCTTATTTCAGTTCAAGCCTTATTTAATTCACCAGTGGCAGTAGATTTTTGATTGTTTTCTGTGCATGCATAATCATAATTAGTAAAAACTTACCTAAAACCATCCAGATCATCTTAGTAACTACAAATCAGTGCCCTGGCAACCACCCAGTGGATCTTAGCAGCCTCATAGCAACACCCTGGCAACCCCTACATCTTAGCAAACACATAGCGATGGTCTACACAGGGCATCTTAGCAACCTCATAGCAACTTCCTGACAACCCCTTAGAACAGGGGTCACTAACCCTGTTCCTGGAGAGCTACCTTCCTGCAGATTTTAGTTGCAACCCTGACCAAACACACCTGTTTGTAATTATCAAGTGCTGCTTTAGGCATTATTAATTGGTTCAGATGTGTTTGATCAGGGTTGGGACTGAATTCTGCAGGAAGGTAGCTCTCCAGGAACAGGGTTGATGACCCCTGCCTTAGAACATTTTAGCAAACACATAGCAATACCCTGGCAACCACCTTTTGCATCTTAGCAACCACATTGAATATCTTAGAAACCACATAACAATGGCCACTCTAGTAAATCTTAGCAACCACATAGCGATACCCTGGCAACCCCCTAGAACATTTTATCAACCACATAGCAATGCCCTGGCAACCACCCTGAGCATCTAAGCAATTACCTAGAACCTCTTAGCAATCACATAACGATGCTTTACCCAGTGCATCTTAGCAACCTCATAGCAACTCCCTGGCAACCCCATAGAACATTTTAGCAACCACTTAGCAAGCAATGTCCTGACAACCACTCAGGGTATCTTAGCATCCATCTAGAACATCTTAGCAACCACATAGCAATGGCCTCTCTAGAAGATCTTAGTAACCTCATAACAACTCCATGACAACCTCTTAGAACATTTTGGCAACCACATAGCAATACCCTGACAACCACCCAGAGCATCTTAGCAACCATCTAGAACATCAACCACCTAGAACATCTTAGCAACCACATAGCGATGGTTTACCCATTGCATCTTAGCAACCTTATTGTGATTCCCTGGCAACCGCATAGAACATTTTAGCAACCACAAAGCAATACCCGGGCAACCCCCCAGAGCATCTTAGCAGCCCCCCAGAGTATCTTAGCAACCATCCACAGCATCTTAGCAACCATCCACAGCATCTTAGCAACCACCCACAGCATCTTAGCAACCACCTAGAACTATTTAGCAACCACATAGCAATGGCCTATCTGGAAGATCTTAGCAACCTCATAACAACTTCATGACAACCCCTTAGAACATTTTAGAAAGCACATAGTGATTTCCTGGCAACCACTCAAGAGCATCTTAGCAACCACCTAGAACATCTTAGCAACTAAATAGAAATGCCTCGGAAACCATACAGAGCATCTTAGCAACCAAATAGCGATGGCGTATCTAGTGGGTCTTAGCAGCCTCATAGCTACTCCCTGGCAGAACATTTTAACGGCTACTTAGGAATGCCCTGACAACCACAAAGACCCTCTTAGCAACCACCTAGAACATCTTAGCAACCACATAACGATGACCTACCCAGTACATTTTAGCAACCACATAGCGACTCTCTGGCAACCCCGTAGAACATTTTAGCAACCACATAGCAATGCCTGGCAACCACCAGAGCATCTTAGCAACCACCTTAGCAACCACATAGCAATGTCTTGGCAACCACCAGAGCATCTTAGCAACCACATAGCAATGCCCTAGCAACCACCAGAGCATCTTAGCAACCACCTTAGCAACTACATAGCAATGGCCTACCCAGTGCATTTTGGCAACCTCATATAGCGACTCCCTGACTTAGAGAAACCTAGGCGACCACCCATAAAATCCTACAACTTCATAGCAGCACCCTAGCAACGATCCAGAATATCCTAGCAACCCATTGGAGAACTATAATCAAGTACTAGAATTATGCATCTGTATTAATTTCCTGCCTATTTTAATGCTACTGACTTTACTGAACTGTTTATATTAATTCAGTGTTTTGAATGCGTGTCCACTTTGCAGGTGTATTCAGTGATAACTGGAGCAAACGTGCCTTTTATTGCAGGCCAGGTTTATTTTTGTATCAGAAACTCTATTGCCTGTCTGTGCTGTATTGATTTTCCTGT